GAGAAATCACCCCCTGGGGGGATGGTCATGCCACAATCCCTTCTCCTCCATTCTCCTCTCAGGATCTTGGGCACGCACGCACACGTGACCGGCGTGAGTTTAAGCCACCGGGTCTGGGACACGAACCGCGGTCGACTACATGGGAGTCCAGGGACATAGCCATTACGCTAACTGCTGGTTCCCAACCCTCGATCATTTGTGAGAGTTAAATTGAGCTAGTACTTGGGAAATACCAAGCCAATTATAAGTGCTCAGTAAATGTTAGCTATTAATAAAATTGATCCTCGGGACCAGCAGATGACGTAATGGTTATATCACTGGACTCCCACGCAGTTGACCACCGTTCAAATCCTGGACCTGGTAGCTTAAAACTCATGCTGGGAGCATGTGCATGTGTGCCCAAGATCCTAAGAGGAAAGTGGAAGAGAAGGGGTTGGGCATGGTCATCCTCCTTGGGGGATAATTTCTTGCTTTCTATCTTTCCACAAGCACACCCAACCTATAGTAAAAATCTCTAAAAAATAAAATAATAATAAATAAAATAAAATTGGTCTTTCCTAAAGCCTCCGGATCCCATCTTGGGATCATCCCTGAAATTAGAATTCCTCCCTTGAGGCCCTTGGTCTTCAGATACCAGTCATCTGGAATGAAAAGTGGAGAGCAGAGTGCTGGCCTGGCTGAGTAGACCTGGCTGGGTAGGCCTGGCTGAGTAGACCTGGCTGGGTAGGCCTGGTTGAGTAGACCTGGCTGGGCAGGCCTGGCTGGGTAGGCCTGGCTGAGTAGACCTGGCTGAGTAGGCCTGGCTGGGTAGGCCTGGTTGAGTAGACCTGGCTGAGTAGACCTGGCTGGGCAGGCCTGGCAGGGAGCTGAGTGGAGGAGTCAGAAAGACAAAGCTTGTTCCTTTGGAAGACTGCTTAGTTGCCACAGAGCACAGCCCAGGCCTGGAAGTGCTAAGCCTTCAGATTTTGGCATGAGAAGCCAAGATGGAGGAGAAGTGAGACAGGACAAAGGCCACACATGCTCTCATCAGATAAGACACAGCGAGGGTATGGACCCGAGAGTCGGACTCACCACATTAATGTCATCTCCCACTGTCCCTCCTTGGCCCCCAAAGCAAGGCTGACACTTGCTTTCCATGCACGGGAAGACTAGAGGCAATAGCCACCTACCAGCTGTACTCTGAGGGGTAGTGGACAGTCCTTCCCACCCCCACGTCACTTCTCTGTCCTGTCCCAAAGCAGAGTAGGTGGCAGGAACCTAGCAGTGGTCCACCATGGCCCCGCACACCAGCTCACAGTCAGCCGATGGCGATAGAGGTGCCCGCTGCTGACCCCGCGTGCTCACAGTGCTGACGGCGTCCTGTGAGGTGTCTGCCCCGTCTCGGCAGTGACCCTGGGAGGCAGTCCTAACACTACGCCCATTTCCAGGTATGAGAGCTGAGCCGCAGTGAGGTGATGCCACTGTCCACAGCTAGCCAAGGTGGAGCTGAGATCTAAGTCTAGGCAGTCTGGCCTCAGAGAGCCCGATTCTCCTGTGGTTCTGAACAGCCTCTGTCACCTGCTCTGAAGTCGGTACCCGGAGAGACACGTTCTCTGACGCCCCCTGCTCCGGGCCAGGTTTGTGCCTCTGCCATGTGTCTCAGGCTTCTTCCCAGTGCTGTATTTGGGTCTCTAGAAAGCCAAAACCTGGGCTTTCTGCCTCTCTCTTCACACCCGAGAGCTTGCTCTCCTTCCAGAAAGAAGGAAGCCAGGGATGCTGAAGGCTGGGAGAGAAGCTTTGGTGCCGCTCTTGGTTGCCATGGTGACAGCCTGCCTCTGCTTGCTGCCTGAGGAACCCGAGGAGGGCGGTGAGGTGGGGGATGAGGGGCGCTTCTCTGTTCCTCCCTCCCCTGCCTGCAGCCTGGCGGCCAGGTTGAACCGGAAGCCTGCACCTGGCCAACCTGCCAGATGGAATTGCACCCCCTCCAATTTAGAGGCTGGGACCTCGCTGCTGGGAGTCCTCCCAGGCAGAATGGCAGCCTGAGCCAGGTCTCTCAACATGAGCCCTCACCTCAAACCCCAAAGACTGTGAAGTCCCTGAAGAGGACTTCATGCTTGTACTCCCAGGGTCTACATGGCCCGGCAAGAGCTGATATTCAGTTAGTCCTTGTTGAATGGATGAATGGGTAGGTGAACAAACCAGCGATCCATCCATAACTCTTCATTTTCACCACTCCAAAACGCTATGCTCATTCTCCCCTCGGGGTCTTTGCCAATAGGAAAAGGGCTCCCCTCTGCCCGCGTTTCGCCCCCTGCCCGGTGCTCACTCCTAGCTCTTTCCCATCTCAGCTTAGAGGTTGCTTCATCAAAATTCACTACGCCCATTTCCAGGTATGAGAGCTGAGCCGCAGTGAGGTGATGCCACTGTCCACAGCTAGCCAAGGTGGAGCTGAGATCTAAGTCTAGGCAGTCTGGCCTCAGAGAGCCCGATTCTCCTGTGGTTCTGAACAGCCTCTGTCACCTGCTCTGAAGTCGGTACCCGGAGAGACACGTTCTCTGACGCCCCCTGCTCCGGGCCAGGTTTGTGCCTCTGCCATGTGTCTCAGGCTTCTTCCCAGTGCTGTATTTGGGTCTCTAGAAAGCCAAAACCTGGGCTTTCTGCCTCTCTCTTCACACCCGAGAGCTTGCTCTCCTTCCAGAAAGAAGGAAGCCAGGGATGCTGAAGGCTGGGAGAGAAGCTTTGGTGCCGCTCTTGGTTGCCATGGTGACAGCCTGCCTCTGCTTGCTGCCTGAGGAACCCGAGGAGGGCGGTGAGGTGGGGGATGAGGGGCGCTTCTCTGTTCCTCCCTCCCCTGCCTGCAGCCTGGCGGCCAGGTTGAACCGGAAGCCTGCACCTGGCCAACCTGCCAGATGGAATTGCACCCCCTCCAATTTAGAGGCTGGGACCTCGCTGCTGGGAGTCCTCCCAGGCAGAATGGCAGCCTGAGCCAGGTCTCTCAACATGAGCCCTCACCTCAAACCCCAAAGACTGTGAAGTCCCTGAAGAGGACTTCATGCTTGTACTCCCAGGGTCTACATGGCCCGGCAAGAGCTGATATTCAGTTAGTCCTTGTTGAATGGATGAATGGGTAGGTGAACAAACCAGCGATCCATCCATAACTCTTCATTTTCACCACTCCAAAACGCTATGCTCATTCTCCCCTCGGGGTCTTTGCCAATAGGAAAAGGGCTCCCCTCTGCCCGCGTTTCGCCCCCTGCCCGGTGCTCACTCCTAGCTCTTTCCCATCTCAGCTTGGAAATTGCTTCATCAAAATTCAAAACTTTTGCACTTCAAAACACCCCATCTAGAAAATGAAAAGACAAGCAGCAAACTGGGAGGAGCTGTTTGCAGAACACATCTGAAAAGGACGAGCCTCTGAGCATGAACGGGAGAGAGCCAGAAGCGAGGGAATCCCAGGTCCCTGAGTCTGGTAGTTTCTCCATTTCATTTGTTCTTTTACAGCAACCTCTCAGCTGTGTGGAGCCTGAGGCCTGATTTGGACCTTCACTGGGGAACTGACCAGGTAGGAAAATCTCCTTGGGACCTTCAGGCCTGCAGGTGCTGGCCCACACCAACCAGGGCTGGCTTCCTTTGTGCGGGCTCCCCCCGGTGGCCACCAGCAGAACTGTAGCTGCCTGTCCTGTCTCAGATGCCGGCTTCATCCACCCAGAGACCCCAATACCACAGCTGCTGCTCGGAGGCCGGGCAGAGGCTCCCTGGTACAGCGTGCTGTGTTCAGTCGGCGTAATCTGTCACACACTTATATCTGGCCAAGCCGGTTAGCTAATGAGTCACCCAGTGACCTGGGGTAGCCTAGGCAGAACAAAAAGGGAACAGGAAGCAGGGAAACCTAGAAAGACGGGCAGGAGATTCCCTGTTCTGGTTAGACACTGATCAGAGGGCAAGAGCATGAGACGCCCGTGTCTGTCCTTTTCCAAGGCTGGTCTCATGATGCTCTTCATCCCTGCTGTGGGGTGTGAGCACAAGTGGGTCTCAACTCCCAGGCCGCCGCTCATCTCCTGCACCCCAGCCCCTTCACCTTTATTCCCTTCTCCACCCCCATCTCCCCACCCTCCCCAGCTCCTGAAACCAGTCCCTGGAACCCCACGCTCACTCTCCGTTGTACGGCATTTCTGTGATGCTTGTGTTCCAGGCATCGTTCCTCACGACCGACACGTCTCAGCTCTCTGCTCTTAGCAGCCCTGTGACGTGGGTGCTAATACCTGCTGCCACCCCATTTCACAGACGAGTGAAGGTGAGCATGGAGACCTTAGTTCTTGGCTCAAGGTCCCCCAGAGCGCCAGTGTGGGACTGGGATTCAGTGGCACAGAGCCGGGATGCTCAGTGACACCGCATCTCCTCGGCCCCCTCAACTTCCTGTAACTGGTCTGGCTCCCCCTACCGCCATCTTAGAAAGCGGTTTCTGTCTCCTCCAACACCACTAGCCCAGGAATGGAGAAGTGTTTTTCGTGCTCCTCTTTGCAACTTCACACTCTGCTTGCTCTCTTCCTGCCGAAGCCTCTGTCTTGGATTGGTGATGTCAGCCAAGACTTCCGTGCCGTCATCAATGCCCCAGGCCTCTCCCCTGCTTCCCGGAAGGGTTTCGTTCCCACCTCCCTGTCACTCCACTTCTCTTCATTCTTGCTGGTCTTCATGTCCACGGTGCACAGAAATGATCCTTTCATTCTCTGGCTTCTTAGTGCCTTCATTTGCCTACTCAGCCACTTGCTCCCAAAGTCGGGCCCTGGATCTTATCACTACCAATAACCACACTCCCTTCTTCTTCTTTTTTTTTAAAGAGAGACTTTTGTTATAGGGTGCGTGTCTCGCCAGAGAGACAGAAAGCGAGAAATCACCCCCCGGGATGGCCACGCCACAATCTCTTCTCCTCCATCTCCTCTCAGGATTCTGGGCACACACACTCGCGCACCCTACATGAGTTTAAGCTGCTGGATCCGGCACTCAAACCGCAGTCAACTAGGTCGGGGTGCAGCGACATAACCATTGCACCATCTGCTGGTCCCAGCTCATTCCCTTCTTACCCGCAGTGCCAAACCTCCCATTTTCCAGCTGCCACTTCCCGTCCATCCATCACTTCACACTCTCAGTACTCAGCAGTTCCTCGTCCTGCCTGGGACCGCACTGCCCCCGGCTGCCCCTCACCTGTTTTGTGTCGAATACCTCTCCTTACCTGGAGAGAATGTTATTCCTGTTAGTAAAAATGACTCACCTGCACACCCTCAGCCCCCTTGTCTCCTGCTCATATTCTGGGAAAACCTCTACCCCAAGTGAGTGTTCACACCTGCCGCCATGCAGCTGAACACAGCACAGTGAGTCAGACTGCTGTCCTCGTACAGTGCCCGCCTCCCGCTTCCACTCGGCGCAGTTTCGGTTACCCACAGCACACTACGGTGAGATATTTTGAGAGAGAGAGACTGACTACGGGGCCTGACAAGAGTTGATATTCCATTAATTCTTGCTGAATGAATGAACGGACAAGCCAGTGTTTGTTCTATTGTATTAGTTGTTGTTAATCTCTTGTGTGTTTAATTATTTTTAAGAGAGTTTTGCAATAGGGCGTGTGCTCACCAGAGAGACATAGTAAAACAGAGAGAGACAAAGTGAGAAATCACCCCCGAGGAGGATGGCCATGCCACCATCCCTTCTCCTCTACTCTTCTCGGGACTTCAGGCATGCATGCACACGTGCCTGGCATGGGTTTCAAGCCGCTGGGTCCAGGACTCAAACAGCAATTGGCCCTGTGGGAGTCCAGCACCTTAACCACTATGGCACCTGCTGGCCCCTCTTATATATTTAATTTATCAGTTAAACCTTGGCATAGGCATGTCTGTATGGGGAAAATGTAGTGTACGTGGGAGCTGATGCTGTCCTTGGTCTTAGACATCCACTGGTGGCAAGGGCGGATGACCTAATTGACAACCACGAGCCTCCGTGGGCCTCAGTGCTATGTTCCCGGAATCCATTCCCCCTCTCCTTCCCCTGGACTTCTCTTCCTACCTTCTCTCTCGGCCTCAAACACCCCTCTGCCCACCACCACCATCTCATGCTCAGCTGAGACCTGGTTTCCTCTTCTGTCAAGAAAATGGAGGTAGTGAGGGGACAGCCACCCCGCCTGTACACCTGCCAACCTGCCGACACCTGTACCCTGCCCTGCCCGCCCTCCTACTACCAGAGCTGAAGATCTGGGTCTCAGCCATGGCCAGCTTCTCCACTTGCACCAAGTTCCAGCACGTTCCCCCCGTTCCACATCAGAGTTGTTGTCGTTCCCACTGGGTCACACACGCAGTGTGCTATTGCTCCACTTCCGCCCCAGGTACTCTTCCAGGAAGCCGTTAGTGTCCACCAGCTCCAGTGACGTTCCTGTCATTCTCTCTTGAGCCTGCTCCAGCCTGGACACCAGTCACCTGCCCGTCACTGAAGCCGTGGCTGAGCCACGGCCGGCGCCCTGCTTGGCCACAGCAGCACAGCTGGCCCTCCTTCCTCCCGAAGCGTTTTCTGTATTTGGCTCCTGGAACTCCACCCTCTCCTGCTTTTCCTCCCTCCTCACCGGCCGCTCCTCCTCAGTCTCTGCTTCCGTGTTCTCTGCGCCTGCCCAGGCTCACCCTCGGAACCTCGTGGCTTTCTCTACACTCATTCCTTCAGTGACCCAGGCCTTTGCCCCTCCGAGTCATCTTTGTGCTGTGGCCGCGGTCTCATATTAATGTCTCCCTCTCTCCAGAACTGTAGACACATCCAGCGGCCTGCTTGATGTCCCCACTTAGCACGTCCAGAGCTGAACTCCCAGCTGCCCAACCACCACCCTGCATCTCCATCCTGCCCTTCCTGTCTTCCAGCCAATAACAGCCACTCCAATTTTCCAGTCGCTTCAGCTCAAAC